TTTTTTTTTTTTTGTTACAGTTGTCATTGTTGTTTAGCGGGGCCAGCCCAGGTTCAAAACCACCAGCCTCTGTGTATGTGGCTGGCGCCCTAACCACTGAGCGACAGGTGTCAAGCCATCATTCAACATGCTTATTTAACCTACTCATTTCTCTCAGTGTAAATATGAATACAGTAAAAAGTGAAAAATATTTCACAGTAGCAGTAATAACATCAACTTGTGAATTATCAAGATCCATCTGAGTATTCCTTAACAAAATGACAATACCTTGAGATATATTTTGAAGTCCTTATAAAAATTGGTTTCAAACTATCCTTCTAAAAGGCAGCCTATAATTATGTAATATTTATTTTCAACCATTTTAAGATAGATGGTGTTTTGTTAAAAAAAAAACTTGAAATTTGACACACCACAAAGAGCACCATGAAAGTTATGGTTAGTTCTTCTAGGTTACCATAAAAAATAAGGGCCACAAGGCTGGGTGTAGTGGCTCATGCCTATAATCCTAGCATTCTGGGAGGCTGAGGCAGGTGGATTGCCTGAGCTCAGGGGTTTGAGATGAACCTGAGCCAGAGGGAGACCTCCTTTCTAAAAACAGCCAGGCGTTGTAGTGGGAACCCAGCTATTTGGAAGGCTGAGGCAAGAGAATCATTTGAGCCCAAGCATTTGAGGTTGCTGTGAGCTGTGAGGCCACAGCACTCTGCCCAAGGGCAACAAAGTGAGACTCTGTCTCAACAACAACAAAAAAAAAAACAGTCCATAAATATCTACAATGTCATAGCAGGCCACTCGGGCGTTTCAACATAACATCTGTATAGCTCACATTAGTTTGAATGCTTTGAAAAAACAAACTATACCAAAGAAAAGAAGATTCCTAGGTCCCTCAAAAGTTCTTTCTTTTCTTTTTCTTGTACATCCAAGACAGAACTCCGCCTTGAAAAAGAATCAGGACCCTACTGTAAACTCAGCTGCCTAAAAGGCCAGGTTCAAGACCAGCTTGAGCAAGGGCAAGACTTTGTCTCTATTAAAAATTAAAAAATTGGCTCAGCGCCTATGGCTCAAGTGGCTAAGGCGCCAGCCATATACACCTAAGGTGGCAGGTTTGAATCCAGCCCGGGCTGCCAAACAACAATGCCGGCTGCAACCAAAAAATAGCCAGGCGTTGTGGTGGGTGCCTGTTGTCCCAGCTACTTGGGAGGCTAAGGCAGGAGATTCGCTTGAGCCCAGGAGTTGGAGGTTGCTGTGAGCTGTGATGCCATTGCACTCTACCCAGGGGAACAGCTTGAGGCTCTGTCTCAAAACAAATAAAAAATAAAAAATTAAAAATTAAAAAATTAGCTAGATGAGGTGGTGCGCAACTACAGTCCCAAGCTATTTGGGAGGCTGAGGTAGGAGAATTGCTTGAACCCAGGAGTTTGAGGCTGCTGTGAACTATGTTGATATCACTATACTCTAGCCCAAGTAACAAAGTGAGACACTGTCTCAAACAAACAAACAAAAAAACACATTAGGACCTATAAGCAAATCTGACCATAACCTTGCCTCTTTTCTCATGTTCACTAAAATACTATAAAGATATAACCTTAAATTTTGATTATTCAATCTAGTAGAATAAGCAAGAGTTTATTATCAGTAATCTAACATGACACTAACCTAATATAAAGTTAATCCTACAAATACTAGAAAAATGAAATTACTCTGTGACACATACTTTTGCACTACCAAAAATAATATTCTGTCTTGAGTTAGTAATGTCAGGAGGAACACTTGAGCCCAAGCATTTGACACTTGCCTGGACAACAAAGTGAAATCCCCGCCTCAAAAAAAGACCCATAATTCTCATTTTTACTTTTATAAACAGAATAAAAATATTTTTAACAGACTAGTCTGAAGGTAGTAAGTCATCTCAAACTTGATTGTTCATTAAGTTACAGACTGAACTCCTTGTTCTACTCTTTATCCCCTCTTACTACTACACTTGACTAGTCTTAAAAAAACATTTTTTTTCAACACACATGGTTATTAACTTAGCAAATTAAATGCTAAACACTTTGAAATACTTGAATAGTATGATACGTAAGGTTTGGCAGTGATTAATTTGATATCTATTCAAATAATGGTTAGCATAAGGTTCATATCATTCAAGATACATCTTTTTTTAAAGTATACTTATATATTATTTTTCAACAAAATGTTTTTAAAACTACAACTGCAAGCAATAGATGTTGTATGAAATCTCAATTTACATACCTATTAATTCAGCAACTGCACTGAATGGCCAAGTGTGACTAGTAGAATTTGTATGTAAAAACTTCGGGCAAAGCTGAAACAAATGATTCATGTAAATTAATTCAGGTCTTTATTTTGAAAACAGAAACCAATATAATTTTTTTGTCCCTGTGTTAAATAATATTGAGACCCAACAAGAATGACTTAGCTGCTTGCTCCAGGATGTAAGGATACACCTGGAAAATACCACCAATGACAAGATTCCTGGCAAAAAAGGCTGGGAAACAACTGAACAGCATATGCATCAAGCCTTTCTTCAAAACCTTATTGTGTGTACAACATCAAGAACTGCTTAATCCCAAACAGTTACCTACCTTAAAATGACCCAGCAAAGGCCCTAAAATCCTATCAACACCAATTCCTAATCTCCTTAATTTCAGACACAATTAAGACTTTGTCAAGGAGGTGTTTTCTCCTTAGTGTGTATTAGGTCTAATAAATGCTTACCATTAATTCATCGACAGGCTTTATCTGCATATCTGACACTTTGACTTGTTTATATTATTTACTCCAAGTTCATTATAATTGAACTTGTGGCAGGAGTAGCACCTATAAACTCTTCAAAGAACATTAAATAATAGCTCCAATTGTTCAACTAAATTTGGCCTGTGGACCTCCATATTCCAATCTTTACACAAGGACAACAAACTAAGTACAAAAACTAACTGAAAACCTAGTTTAGGAGTATGGTACGAGTATATTCCAGTACAAATAGCTGAGTCTCAGTCGATTACAGCCAATCTTCAGTAAATTGAAGGACAAATTGATTCAAATAAGCCAAGATGCTGAGCTGTGACCAATTAAACTGCCTCTGTACCTCATTTGTTTTCTGTCCATAAATATTGCCTGACCACACTGCAGGTCAGAATTCTGGCCGCATATGCCAGAGGTGGCAGGTTCAAACCCAGCCCCGGCCAAAAAAAAAAAAAAAGGGCGGTGCCTGTAAGGAGTAGGGCACCCGCCCCATAGGCCGGAGGTGGCGAAACTGCAAAAAAAAAAAAAAAAAAAAAAGAATGCTAGAGTAGCTTTTTCAGTATTTAAACATAAACACTTAGTTTCAACTTTTTTTTTTTTTTTTTTGCAGTTTTTGGCTGGGGCTGGGTTTGAACCAGCCACCTCTGGCATATGGGGCTGGCACCCTACTCCTCTGAGCCACAGGCACTGCCCAGTTTCAGCTATTCTTAATATTCATCCTTAGAATGTGTCCTTGGCTGGAAAAGAAAAACACCCAGACAAGCTATGGAGCAAATTTACTAGGTGGTGTGTAATCCTGGGCAAGAAGTTTAACTGTCTCTCAAGTTTTGTCATCTGTAAAAATTAAGGAAAAAAACATTATCAGCTTACCAGGTTAAAAGAATTACATGACTTAATGTTTTTAAGTGCTGAGAAGAAAGCCTAGAACATCATAAACATTATTAAGTGTTTGTCAACTTATTTATTTGAGACAAGAGTCTCACTTTGTCACCCTTGGTAGAGTGCTATGGTAACAGAGCTCACAGCAACTTCAGGTCTAGGCCCCAAGTGATTCTCTTGCCTCAGCCTCCCAAGTAGCTGAGACTACAGGTGCCCAACACAATGCCTGGCTATTTTTAGAGACTGCCCAGCTATTTTTAGAGACAGAGTCTGGTTCTAGATCAGGCTGGTCTCAAACCTGTGAGCTCAGGTGATCTGCCCATGTTGGCCTCTCAGAGTGCTGGGATTATAGGAATGAGCCACTGCGCCCAGCCCTGTCATCTTTTTAAAGAAATATCTCTTTATGTATAATATAAATGTCTTAACACAGTAACTTATAAAATGCTGTGAAGGTTATGTTAACCAGTTTGATGAAAACATTTCAAATTGTATATAAAACCAGCACATTGTACCCTATGATTGCGTTAATGTACAAAGCTATGATTTAATTAAAATAAATAAATAAAAAGCGGCTCAGCGCCTGTGGCTCAAGTGGCTAAGGTGCCAGCCATATACACCTAAGGTGGCAGGTTTGAATCCAGCCCAGCCAGCCAAAACAACAATGATGGCTGCAACCAAAAAATAGCTGGGCGTTGTGGCGGGTGCTTGTGGTCCCAGCTACTCAGGAGGCGGAGGCAGGAGACTTGCTTGAGCCCAGGAGTTGGAGGTTGCTGTGAGCTGTGATGCTAAGGCACTCTACCCAGGGGGATAGCTTGAGGCTCTGTTTAAAAAAAAAGAAAGGAATATCTCTTTAAAGGCAGAACTGGGCCAGGCACGGTGGCTGGGCTATAATCCTAGCACTGGGAGGCCCAGGCAGGTGAACTAACTGCTTGAGCTCTTGAGTTTGAGACCTGCCTGAGTAGGATTCAGCCCAAGAGTTGAAAGTTGCTGTAAGCTATGACGCCATGCCACTCTACCCAGGGCAACAGGTTGAGACATTGTCTCAAAAAAACAAAGTAGAACTGAATTCATATAAAAATAAGGAAAATCGGGCAGCGCCTGTGGCTCAGTGGGTAGGGCACCAAACCCATATACCAAGGGTGGTGGATTCAAACCTGGCCCAGCCAAACTGCAACAGAAAAAAATAGCCAGACATTGTGGCTGACACCTGTAGTCCCAGATACTCAAGAGGCTGAGGCAAGAGAATCGCCTAAGCCCAAGAGCTGGAGGTTGCTGTAAGCTGTGATGCCATGGCACTCTACCAAGGGTGACATAATGAGACTCGGTCTCTAAAAAATTAAAATAAAATAAAAATAAGGAAAATTCTGAATGGCCTCAGCTAAAGAAAAACTAAAAACCAAAATAAAGTTTGAAACAGCTGATGCGCTGGGGATTAGATTAGGTTTATTTAACCTGACGTAAAAAGGTTTTGGTTTTAATGGTGACTCAAGGCTAAGAGGTTTGGCAGAAGAGCAGCATGCACTTACTTGAATGAAAGTAACTGTCCACCCGACCTCACCGCACCCTACCCACCCCCAGTAAGAGCAGACTTGGAACAGAAGGGACTGGCCTAATGAGAAGTTTATCTGTTTTTGTCTGGATTCTAGTTTTTTGGGTTTTTTTAAAGTATAACATGAAGATCTGTAAAAAGAAGTATATTTCCTTTCTTTTTTTTTTTGAGACAGAGTCTCAAGCTGTCTCCCTGGGTACAGTGCCATGGAGTCACAGCTCACAACCTGCAAAGGTTGGGCTTAAGCGATTC